GAGAGATCAAGTTGATGCCATATTTGAAGCCCCTCCTCTGAATATTATGAAGGAACCGATATTTTTGAGCACCTGCTGTATGCCAGGCTTTGTGCTAGTACTTTACATTTACTGTCTTATTCCATATTCACAACAACCTGCTGAAATAGATTTTTACCTCCTTTGATTACAGAGTAGAATTTGAGGTTTATAAATGTTAAGTCAATTGTCCAAGACCACACAGCTAGTAAATAGGTGGCAGAGACAGACTCCAAACCAATAGCTCAGAGCAGGTCCTTTTTATAACTTTATGCAACTCTCAGGCAAACCATTACTGCCCCCCACCCCCCACCCCCCACCCCTCTCCAGGAAAGCCATGCGCTGGTAGGAGCAGGAGGACAGGTCCAGCTGGTGACGCAGGGTATTAGGCCAAGCAGTAAAATCTGTATTTGTGGGAGCTGAGATCCATCTTCTTGACAAAGCTCTGAAACTTTGGCCCAACAGGTCATATCCAAGAAATTGCAGAGTAAAGTAATCCCCTCTAGGCCCTTGGGAAAGCCAAACCCAAAATACATATCTATGGTTTCAATCAAAGCCCATTACAGGAATTACTGGATGTGTTGAGCAGAAAGAACAGCCATTCATTGGGTCAGACTGTGCTGGCAGGAGAGACAATTGCTGAGCAAAGCTGAATGAGTCTAAAGTCAGAACAGAGAGATCCAAGCTGGGCAGAGCCAGTGGACAGCTGCTCTGCTAAGTTCCCTGGGGAGCAGTTTTTTCTGAAGTAATTGCTTCAAACCCTGGCCTTACCTGACCTTATTTTTAAGTGTGTCTCCCCCCTAGTAGACTGAGAAGCTGCATGGTTCCTCCCAGGGAAGGTTCTAGAAAAAACTGTATAGGGAAGTCTAGGTTAGTTTAAACCTCTGTGTCCCCAGGGTCAAGCTTAGATCAGAGGAGGACCTCAATACATATTTGTGGAAGGAAGAAGTGAATAGACCAGATTCAAGTACCATTAACAAGTCATACCAAACAAGTCTGGGGTCCAAAGTTGCGTGTCAGAAAAGGACAAAGGAAGCCATAGCTGAACTCCCCAGTGTGTCATGGCTACAGTCAGAAAAGAGGGCTCAGTCACTAGGAGATGTGGATTGAGGGACTCCTCAATCACAAGGACAGGCTGGGGTGGGAGAGGAAAAAGCCAATTATTGGAAAGTGTGGAAAGAACAAGGGATACATCCTGCCTCCAAGGAACTGGAAAGTTACTTAGAATCTTAACCACCATGACACAGGAAGGAGGAGAGGCCAGAGTACCAGGATGTGCAGGCATTGAGAATAGCAGGACTAACAAGCAAGATCCTGACTAGTATATTCCCTTAACTGGTGCCGTTGTTAGTCTTAGGATAGCACTGAACCTGCAGAGTTCTGTACTCTTCACAGAAAATGCTCCAGGTTCAGCAGACATGGAAACCTAACAGTTATTGTACATCTTCCTGGTGGCTAGTTTCCTGTTTATTCATTCTGCCCCCTGAATAGCTGAGGGGATAAGGCAAACACTTCTTCATTTGGTAAGAGATCTGCTTCACCTGATCAATTTTTTAAAGAGAGTAATGACAAAAAGCATTGATGAACTGTTAATTACCTGGAGAAATATGGCAGAAAGGCAGTTTATATATAAGCACAGTTCTTTTAGGAAAGTGTGATACAAAGGAGCAGAATGACCCTGAAGGGAGAGGCATAAAGTTTCAGCTGAACAGTACCTTATCAACCCACTCCCTGGCTGTATACTCCTGTACCCGGGTTATTTACCCCTTGCTAGCATCCTCTGCTATTCCCATCTCAGTATACATTGCATAGTTTTTACAATTGCCAGATTTTATTTTTATCTCTATAAACTCCAACAGAATTGGTAACATGTCAATTTTTTTTTCATCTTTGTATCCCCAGAACCCAGGTCTGTGCCTGTGATGCTCAATAAATAATAGTTGGATGGATGGATGGATGGATGGATGGATGGGTGGATGGATGAATGAATGAATGAATGAATGAATGAATATCAAGAATTTACCTCTAATTTCAACTACAGGAAAGAAAAAAGTTAGAGCAAAAAATACAGGGATAGTGTTGCTTCTAAGTTTCTCCTTGGATGGCTCCTGTAGTGCAGTGTAGGAACATATAATCTCTCTCAACACAGAGCTTGAGGCTGGAAATCCAAAAATTACAAGAAAAGAATGGATGACAAGACAAATGCTATAACTTAACAGCAATTTCTAGGTCACTGGCAAATGACTACCGTTAATAATTACAAGCTTTTATGGGGCCCTTTCTATTTTCAGAGTGCTTTCCCATCATTAATTTGTTATTTCTCACAACATCGCTATGAGGCAGATCATCACTATTATCACATTACAGATGCACTAAGGATGTCAAGTTGAATTTAATTGACCCAGGAATGTACCTATTTTTAGTAGTTCATTTGCCCCTCTGCTTTCTGGTCTTAAAAATCTATTGATGCAGCCTAGAGGGTGGTACTGCTAAAGTGCAATTTAGAAAGAAACATTGAGACAACCACAGAGGATCACGGGAGCAGAGTAGGTACTAAATTTCAGAAAGGTAAGACGCGCCAGAGAGAAGCTTTGATGTATTTTAGAAGAGCATGCATGAACTTCTTACCATTTTCTGAAAAACGACTTTTCTCCTAAGGTTACTGCCACCTTGAAAATACGGGTTTAGTTTAACATGCATAGGGTTGAAAGCAGTTTGTACAATTTAGCCTCACAATGCTGAGCCAGGTTTCCTACAGTGCTATCTCTGAGTCCTAGGACCAAATTACTTTGTTCATAAGGGAGGTACATGTGATTAGACATTCACTCCAAGGACTAAAGCAAGTATGATCACGTGCTGGAGATAGCATTGCCCAAAGAAGGCTGGTGGATCTGTGGAGCAGCGTTTCAATTATTGGAACTGTACATCTACATATTCAAGGGGAGTGTTTAGCTTCCTGTGTATGGCATGTTTGTCCTCCCCCTCTCCACTGTCTGGCTTTCCATTTGTCCACCTGAGAAGCCTTCCCAACAAGCACTGAGGTTGTCTTTGTTGTGGGTTAAATTGTGTCACTCAAAAAGATATGTGGGCCCTAGCTGGTTTGGCTCAGTGGATAGAATGTCAGGCTGCAGAGTGAAGGGTCCAAGGTTATATTCCAGCCAAGGACACATGCCCAAGTTGCAAGATATATACCCAGTAGGAGGAGTGCAAGAGGCAGCCAATCAATGATTTTCTCTCACCATTGATATTTCTATCTCTCTCTCCCTTCCTCTCTAAAATCAATAAAAATATATTTAATAAAAAAGATATGTGGGTGTTCTACCCCCTAACACCTCAAAATATGACTTTACTTGGAAATAGGGTTGTTGCAGAGGTAATCAGGTTAAAATGAGGTCATTAGGATAGGCCCGAATCTAGTATAATGGTGTCCTTACAAAAGGGAAATTTGAATACAGAGACAGATGGCCCTGTGAAGACGGAGTGATGCATCTCTAAACCAAGGAACACCAAAGATTGCCAACAAACCCCCAGAAGCTGGGAAGAGGCAAGGAAGGATGCTACCCCTATGGGTTTCAGAGGGTACATAGCCCTGCCAATGAATTGACTTCAGACTTCTAGGCCTCCAGAACTATAAAACAACACATTTCTGTTTTTCTAAGCCACCTATGTGGTACTTTGTCATGGCAGGCCTAGGGAACTAGTACAGTCCTATTAATAGATAAATTTTAAAAGAGATGAAAAGTGACATGTTGTCCCCACCACTGTCCAGTATTTAATTCTTCCTCATGCTAAGTCACTTCCTAATATATAATAATACTAGGGGCCCAGTGCACGAATTCGTGCACCTTGAAAGGAACTGTGGGCCATGAGGCTGCAGTGGGCACAGGGGTGGGTCTCTGGCCATCCTTTGTGCCCCGACCCGGCCCCTCCTGGCCTGGACCCCAGTGCCCTGTCTGCCGGAAGCCCTGCTCCCGCAGCCACTGCTCCCACACACTGATGGCGCTGAGAGTGATTGGGGCTGGCGCCAACAGCAGGTGCAAGCAGGGCCAGCACCGTCAGCAGGTGCAAGTGGCGGCTCCAGCACCAGCAGTGGGTGCAAGTGCCTGGCAGGACTGCGGTGCGCAGGAGCAAAGAATTTTCAATAACCATCAGAGGCTCGCCCCAATGACAGTGACCGGCACCCTGCCGTGGTCTGGCGCCCCCACTCACCTGCTCCACCATCCCACCACAGCAGATGCCCACCATGTTCTGCACTCTGCCACCTGCTGCTGACACCCGCCATGTTCTTCACACACCCCCTGATGGTCAGCCCATGTCATAGCAACCGGTTGTTCGGTTGTTCCAAAGTTCAGTCTATTTGGATATTAGGGTTTTATATTAGGGTTTTAGATAGATAGATAGATAGATAGATAGATAGATAGATAGATAGATAGATAGATAGATGAGTGTGTGAAAGATGATCTCCATCATCCAGATGTTTGGAAAACATTTTGAGTTGCTTTATTAACAATTAAAATTATGATCTCAGCTCTGCATCTTAGAAGCTGCCCTCTAAAAAAGTATAAGATTTTTATATTAACAAACTATATCTTTAGTTTGTTAGGAGACTCTCATTTGAAAACACTTTGATCACACAAAAGACACTGGGGAAAAGGTGAATGATCTGATACAACCTATCACCACCACAAAGAGAGTGCTCCCAATGCAGATCTTACTAGTATCCATCACAAGCAATGTTTAAAGCAGTAAATTAAACCCAAGTGACATACAACAAAAGAAATAACAAAGAATAAAGATGAATAAGACAGAATATATAAAAATAAGAAAATCAACAACAAAAGTTGGTTCTTTGAAAAGACATTTAAAGATGATAAATATTTAGCACAACTGATAAGAAAAAGAGAAATAAGATGCAAACTGTGAATATCAGAAATATAAAAGGAACATTACTATAGATTAAACAGATGTTAAAAAGTTGATATTATAAATGACATTATGTCAACAAATTGACGATTTGGGCAAAATGTACACATCCAAAGAAAAACACAATTTAATACTTCAAAGAATGCATAGCTTACCCAGAGCGGTTCTTACACAGAACTTCATGATATGATGGATTCGTAGATTTGGGGGGTCACAGAGGTGGCTAGAAATGTGTCTGGGAGGATAAATCCAGGCCACACTGTGACGTTCTTTCAATGAAATGTCAAGGACTTGAGAATTTATTCGGTAGACCATAGAGTCAGTTGTGATTGAGTGAGGCAATATGACCAGATTAATGATACAGAAAAATTCTTAGCAATATATGAAAGAAATTGAAAATTGGAGAGAAGACACAGGGAGTCTAGATAAGACCGTCACAATAATGAGAGAAGAATGAAAGCCTGATGCGGTGAAGAATTAAAAGGTGTATTCTTCCATGTTCATCCATGCCTACCCTTTATCTGAACCTGCTAAGTGAAGAAGTACAGATTCTGCAAACATTGGCTATGCCTGGAAAGTTGCCATCTCCATCTCAGGAGCATCTTCACTGTTGATGGCTTGCGAGAGAGGGACAACCCCCTGGAGGACCACTGTCAAAACGTTTTTATTCTGACAAGTTCTTGGGTGCTAGTCCTTGTCATGCTTCATATCTCAGGGCACAGTCAAGCATGAAATTTCCTGTGAAGTTAAAAGAAAAAGTTATGTTATCTGTTCAAAAATCACAGGACAGAAACTGCAAACAGCCCAGATCTGAGGACTACAAAGTTGGATCAACATTTTTTGACACCAGCTGCTTTACCTGGGGAATGTAGTCTGATAAGATAGACAGGAAATGCTAAACAGTAACAAGGGGGAAAGCATAGGAATGCTGCAGCTTGTTTATGCTTTTATCTGGAAAAAGACTGCTCCTCTAGCCCTGTGGACATAAGAAACCCCTCCTTGATTTATAAACAAGGTATATATGCACAAGCATCCAGCAGAGACAAGACCCCCTCCCTTTTCCTTTTTGTCTCTTTCTATATAAAGTATATGAGATGGGGGTATATGCAGAATGGAGTTAGCACAGCAGACCTGGTTTGCTGCAAGATTGGTCCTTGGCTGGCATCTGGAATTTAGATTTCAAGAATGTCCCCACCATTGACTAATCAGAGCAGCTCGCTGTGTCTAACATGTTTGTACAAACTATATGGTTTATCCTTGTATTAGTCAGGGTTCTCCAGAAAACAGAATCAATAGGGTGTGTGTGTGTGTGTGTATAGTGGGGAGGGGGAGTATTTTAAGGAATTGGCTCACATGATTGTGGAACCTGCACGATGGGCTAGCAGGCTGGGGATTCAGGAAGAGCCAATGTCGAGTTCAAGCCCAAAGCTCATCTGCTGGCAGAATTTCTTTTATCTAGGCCCTTGACGGATTAGATAAGGCTCACCCACATTATGGAGGGTATTCTGCCTCATTCACTGTCCACCAATTTAAATGTAAATCTCATCCAAAAACACACTCACAGAAACATTCAGAATAATGTTTGACCAAATATCTGGGTGTTGTGGCCCAGTCAGTTGACATAAATTTACAATGCTGAACCCCTGCTTTCTTCCTGGCAATCTGGACATATGTGGTTCATGCTAGACAGAGGTTGCCTCTGTGATCAGCTCCCAGTAAAAACCTTAGGAACTAAGTTCCTAATGAGCTTCCCTGGCAGACAACATTGAACAAGGGTTGTCACAACTTGTTGTTGGGGGAAGTAAACACATCCTGTGCAAATCCACTGAGAGAGGACCTTTGGGAGCTCGCATCTGGTTTCCCCCAGACTGCATTCCATATGCCTTTTCCCTTTGCTGATGGTGCTTTTCATCCTTTTGCTGTAATAAATCATAATTATGAGTTTAACTAAAGAGTCCTGTGAGTCTTTCTAGTGAATCATCAAACCTGGGGGTGATTTAGTGGACCCTCGATGCAGGGTATTATAAGAGTCCATTTTATTCCCCCTTTCCCTTGAAATATTGAAAGGCGTAATGCAAGTAAATCACATATTGTATCCAAAGGACATTATAATTAATAACATTAAAATAGCTCAAGAGGAACTAGTGATTATATAGTATTTTGGAAATATGAATTGCTACATAAATACTAGGTAACAATAATAAGACAAATTCTACTTTTCTATGAATTCCACAGGACATTTCCACAGATTTTTATAGGAAACAAACTTAATTATGTATGCCCAGCAAGAACTGTTGTAAACCATTTAAATAGATCTAGACTGTTTTTAGTGAGAAGGATAAGTACAGAGATCCAATAACCAAAGGGGAAAATGTTTGGGAACTAGTAAATGAAATTTCAAACCTAATAGGTTTTGAAATCAGCTTATTGGAATTATAAGGAAATAGTTCATGCATAATGATCCCTAGGTTTTGCTTAATGGTCATACTAATTAACTTCTCAAATTCAATAAAAGTGTAGGAAATGTATGTATATTCAGTAATTGACAAATAAATCATGTTAATTACATATTCATATAGCCAATCATAATTCTTCTAACTCAGTCTATTAAGCAAGAGTTCTTTAAGATAATTATTCATTTTAAAAAATGTATAGGGGGTGGGGAGAGGTAGGAGGGAGTACAGGGGTGATAAATGGTGCTGGAAGGAGATTTGACTTGGGGTGGTGGTGAACACATAATACAATATACAGATGATGTATATAGAATTGTACACCTGAAACCTATATAATTTTATTAACCAATGTCACCCCAATAAATTCAATGAAAAAAAACTTAATGAGCCTCAAAGAATTCTCAACTAAATTTAGTCTTGTTTCTCATCTTGATTAGATTAACTCCAAATAATTCAAACCACAATAGCATGAGGGATGAGAAATAGCCTTAAATAACTTGGTTGTTCACGCAACCTTTAGATTGTGAGTTATCAGTCCCCAGACTGTAAGCTCCTCAACAAGCAAGAACCACATTTTTTCCATGTCATGTAAATTCTCTAAGGTGTTTGGCAGCACTGTGGAGTACTCAGTACCTTCTGTTTGATGGTGCTGACAAGACCTAAAAAATTATCCCTCTAAAAACCTACTATTAAAATGTAACAAAACTGCTCTAGCTGGTTTGGCTCAGTGGATAGAGCGTCAGCCTGAGAACTGAAGGGCCTCAGCTTTGAATCCTGTCAAGGGCACGTACCTCGGTTGCAGGTCCTCCCTGGCCCAGGACCTGGTCAGGACACATGCAGGAGGCAACCAATCGATGTGTTTCTCACATCAATATTTCTCTCTGCCTTACCTCTCTCTTCTATTCTCTCTAAAAATCAATGGAAATATATTCTCAGGTGAGGATCAAAAACAAAAAAAAAGTATAAAGTGACTCCTACTGGTCAGCAGTTTTGAGGCTCCATGATGTTATATAAACAAGAGTTTTCTAAATCTTTTGGTATTAACATCCTTTTGAGTCCTGCTTTAGTAAAATGTGTATCCCCAAGGCCTTATAATATCCAGACACAATCTCTAGTGGGTTTGAAGGTGTTGGGTGACTTAGTGCTGGGATTTTTCCATTTTAGGGCTGTGCGTCCACTGTTGTTGCATGGGGAAATGTTAAACAGGATTACCATATGACCCAGCAATTCTTCCTCCACAGCAGATGACTGGTGAAAAGCCTCATCCCCAGGAAGTGATTAAAAGAACACACCAAGAAAATTTTATCCAACTTTGTATCACAAACAAGGCTGGCATTCAATCCCTTGACATGTATAATCTAAAGCAGTGATTCTCAAAGTGTGATTCTCAGACCATCATCACCTGGGAACTTGCTAAGAACAAATTATTTGTCAACAACAACAAAACAACTCAATTCAAAAATGGGCGAAAGACTTATATAGTCATCTATATATACCCAGCCACCAAACAACGAAATGACCTGCACTCGGGGGTCCCTCAGCCCAGCCTGTACCCTCTCACAGTCTGGGACCCCTCGGGGGATGTCCACCTGCTGGCTTAGGCCTGCTCCCCGGGGGATTGTGCCTAAGCTGACAGTGATACATCCCTTGGGGGATGTCCACTTGCCAGCGGGCCGAAGCTGCAGTTGAACATCCACAGAGCTGCTGAGGAGGCAGGAGAGGCTCCCACCATCGCCAATGTGATGCCTTCAGCCTGGCTTGTGGCTGAGCAGAGCTCCCCCTGTGGGAGTGCACTGACTACCAGGGGGCAGCTCCTGCATTGAGCATCTGCCCCCTGGCAGTCAGTGTGTATCATAGTGACCAGTCATTCCCAGTCGTTCTGCTGTTAGGGTCAATTTGCACATTACCGCCCTAACGGGTTTGGCTCAGTAGATAGAGCATCAGCCTGCAGACTGAAGGGTCCCAGGTTCGAAACCGGTCAAGGGCATGTACCTTGGTTGCGGGCACATCCCCAGTAGGGGGTGTGCAGGAGGCAGCTGATCGAAGTTTCGCTCTCATCGATGTTTCTAACTCTCTATCCCTCTCCCTTCCTCTCTGTAAAAAATCAATAAAATATATTTGGGGAAAAAAATTGCATGTGCACATTACCCTTTTATTATATAGGATAGAAGCCTGGTGCACGGGTGGGAGCCAGCTGGTTTGCCCTGAAGGGTGTCCCAGATCAGGGTGGGCAGGGGACCCCCAGCTCCCTACGATCGCCCATGCCGCCCATGCAGCCTCAGTCCGCAGCTGCAGCCTCCCCCAATCGTGGGCTCCGCCCCTGCCCGGGCCTTACGCCTCTGGCCGAGGCATTAGGCCCGGGCAGTGGGGACCCCCAGCTGCAGCCGCCCCTGCCCAGCCTAACGCCTCTGGCCGAGGCGTTAGGCCCAGGCAGGGGACCCCCCCAGCTGCAGCCACCCCCGATCGTGAGCTCCGCCCCTTCCCGAGCCTAACGCCTTTTGGTTGAGGCATTAGGCAAGGGCAGCGGGGAGCCCAAGCTGCAGCCCCCCCCCCTATAGTGAGCTCCACCCCTGCTCAGACCTCAAGGCTCTGGCCGAGGCGTTAGGCCCGGGCAGGGGAGGCGCCAGGCTGTGCCTGCCCCCCGATCGTGGACTCCGCCCCTGCCACGGG